GACGGCGTCAGCGGCGCCCGCGGGACCCCCGGCCCCGCCAGCCGCCCCCGGTCCCGCTTACCGGCGCAGGTGGTTGAGCACGGTCATGTTGGCGTACATGTAGTACAGGTAGTAGGAGTAGGGTGGGTTGTCCTCCTCCACCCAGTTGCCCGGCAAGGGGCTGTCCAGGTTGAAGATGTGATGCTCCGGCTTGGACTCGTCGTCTACGCTGTCGAAGCCGTCCACCTGCGGGCCAGGGCTTGGTGGTGGCCACCTCCATGGGGACACCTCCCATCCCCACGCCATAGAGGAGCTAGACAAGGGGACCGGTCCCCAAGGCGCAGGACAGGGTGCTCACGTGCTCCAGGAAGAGGTGCAGCTCCGGGTGCTGGGCTGGGTGGATGGTGGCCTCGAAGAGGGGGAGGAAGATGTTCTCCAGCATCTCCTGGAAGTTGGCCAGCTGCCTCTTGGTCCGGTAGACGTCACTGCGAGGGTGACAGCGGTGCCTCAGCGCTGGGCGCCCCGTCACCGCCGCGTCCCCTGCGGGCGGTGGGCGCTACGGTACTCACAAGAGCCGGGGCACCTGCACCAGCCAGCGCACGTTGTTGGAGTGAACGCGGTGGTTCACGGCCCAGCGGGCCAGCTTGTCCCACTCGTCGCGCGAGCGCCCATAGATGGACAGCCGCAGCTCGGCGTTCTGGTACTTGCTCTCCTCCAGGTCGGACATCACCTCCTGCCGCCCGGGGAAAGGGGTCACCCGTCACCACCGGCCAAGGGTGCCGTGGCGGGACGTCACCCCACGCTGGGTGCTGGTCACAGCGGGCAGTGGAGGGAGGAGAACCAGGAGGGTGTCTGAGGTGGGCGGTAGCGCCCCCAGCGCCTCCGGGGCCGCTCACCTTGATGATGTGGGCAAAGTACTTCCCCGCGACGCGGTTGTCCGTCTTGATGAAGATCTCCCGCAGGATGGACTCGCCGATGGGGTTGTACTTGGCGTTGAACTTGTCGAAGCGGTGGAAGGTGTTGCGGTCCTGGCACGGAGACACAGGCGTGAGCCCACGGCCCCCTGGGGCCACCCTGGGGCCACCCGCCACCCCCTGCCCTGGCACCGGGCCACCCCCGGAGGAGCTGCCCCAGCCTGGCTGGGGATGGGCCGGTGTCGCCGTCACCTCCAGGGCTCGGGAGGGCCCCTCGTACCGCGTGGACGTCCAGCGTGTCCACGCTGAGGTCGTAGGCAGTGAGGTTCATGGTCTCGAAGACCTCCTTGAGCGTCTGCTCCTTGCCCTTCTCCACGTGGACGATTTCGTCCAGGTGCTTCTTCATGGCCCGCTTGATGAAGCGCAGGAGATGCTTCTGGTTCATGCAGGACGAGGCGTGGATGTGGGTGTCCACCTGCGCCAGCAAGGGAGACACTCAGCTCTGAACCCGTCCCCTCGTCCCCATCGGCCACCGGCCAGGCCAGGGACCCTCGGGTGCTGCCAGGGCCCGGGTACCTTGCGGATGTTGTAGAAGTCGCGGTGGGGCACCTTCTTCTGGGCCGCCAGCTCCTTCATCTCGTTGAGCAGCACATGCATCTGGAACTTGGAGCTCAGGTACTGCAGGCGCCGGTAGCAGAAGGATTTGCTGGCACAAGGCAAGAAGGTCAGTGTCAAGTTTGGAGGAGGTTCCAGGGCCACCACATGCCCAACCGTGTGTCCCCGTGGTGGGGAGGTGGGGACACAGACCCCGGTGCTTCTCCTTACATGGGGCCATTAATGATCAAAGCCATGAGGAAGTTCATGTCAGCGATGAACTCCTGCAGGTCGGGGTAGGGCAGGTCCAGCTCTGTGCTCCTGGAGAGGAGGGGACAGGGGTCGGTCACACGTGACTATGGGGCCACCCCAACAAGTAGGGTCCATCCTACATCCTTCCATCCCCCTGGGTCAATGCAGCCCCCTCCGAACCTCTCCAGAGGCAGCTGCCCCCAGGTTGGAGAAGGTTGGAAGAAGGTAGGAAGGTCAATGGGGGTGCTGAGCCCTGGCAGCTGGACTCACTTGTCGGTGACGTCCTGCTTGGTGTAGACGTGCACCACGCCGTCCACCATCCGGAGGCCGAAGCCCAGGTCGCCGGGCATGGCGCGGGGGTCCCAGGCCTCGTAGGGGTGCTGCTCCGTGAACGGCGGGTGCACGGGGGCATCTACCAGAGCGCCACATGCACCGAGCTGCTCCGGCGCCGCCGCGCGTCCCCCCCAGGGACCTCCCCCGGGGCACCGCCGCTCACCGG